CTCGTTTCTATCGCGTTAGTCGTTGCTAAGTCTTCGGTCCTCGCTCTGCGTTCTTCGTTGTTCGGCTTCGGTCTTCCGCGTTCTCGCGGTCTCCTTTGAAGTTGTTGTTGTTGTTGTTTTTTTCACAAACACAAACCGCTTTTAATATCTAGATGTAGAAAAATTAAGGTGTCCTTAATTACAACCATCTAAAAACAGAGTAAACAAATCTTTGCCTAAACCTTCCCTCCCCCATGTTCAATGACTTTCCTAGTAACACTGACCAAATCATTGTGCTCTTTGGTGCAGGTTTTATTGCAAACGATCGTTTTATTTTGAACATATTTCACAACGAGATCACAGAAATAAAATTCCAGGTTAAGAAAGGGGAAAAAAAAGATTTGATGGTGGCAGTAAACTTAATGACTCATTATCTAATTATTTTAGTGCATACAGTGCACGTCTTTGAGTGGAACCTCAGTTTAACAAAGGGCCAAGGGACTGCTGGCAAAATGAGTTCACTATAACGATGTTTCTTTAGATCGAAGTTCTTTTCCATATATTTTACTATTAATAGGGTAAAGAAAATCTTTCGTTATACCAAGAACTTCATTTGTAGAGCAATATAGTGTTATATCGATGTTCCACAGTATTTCAAAGCCCTTGGGATACGTCATTATTTGCCGTCATTATTTGCATGTGAAGATTCAGTCACCTGTTGGTGTGAATGTAATGGCGATGTCATTGCTTGGACGGAAAGGGAGGGGGGAGGGGGTAAGGGCAGGTGCGGCATTTGCAATTTTTTGGCTCAAATTCCTGACCCTCGGGAATGGAAAATAGTTCAAATTTGATAAATATCCCTTTCTGGGGATAACAAAACCGCAGTTTGAGGCAACATTTGTGGTAAAAATCCGGCAGAGAGGGGACATAGGAAGTGTTCAAATGCCACACCTATGCCCTTAGCCCCCCCCCCCCGTCCGTCAAAACATTTATACCTGCATATGTCTTATACGTTTTTTTAGCATGGCTTTTCTCGAAGAAGGTCTTAGTGTTCAAATGCCACACCTATGCCCTTAGCCCCCCCCCCGTCCGTCAAAACATTTATACCTGCATATGTCTTATACGTTTTTTTAGCATGGCTTTTCTCGAAGAAGGTCTGTTATCAAAAGTATGGTTGCTTTAAACGTCAGCCAAGCGTACTGGTACAGCTACCGCAGAGCCCATCCCGGATTGGAATACGATTCAATCTCTTTACAAGAGCAAACAGGAATTCAGCTAACCTCATTGATGATCACAATAAAAATAAGCTCACGACCTCTCATTTCAAGATTTCAAGGCGGACAATTTTTGTGATTCACGGATATACAGGTAAGGGCAGGCGCCTGGAGACTAAAACCTGAAGCACTCAGTCACAGCTTATTAGGGGCGCTTTCCATTCATCCCAAAGTTACGGAAATTTCGCTTAGAAATCAAATTAATTGAACGGACCATTTTCGTTCGGTCCGACCGGAGTATTTTGGACCACCTTTGAAGGGGTCCACTTTGACCGGTCTGGTCATTTCGGTCGGTCGGACCAAATTCCCCTTTTCCCTTGACAAAATTGTTGTCCCTAGCACTGCTCTTTTGTATCCTGCTTACAAGAACAACAACCAAACGCTCGGTAGCTTGGATCGGGTTTGTGCAAGCTTCTTGATTTAAAAGAGGCATTTGACACTCTTAAACATGATATCCTTTTATCTAAAATGAACCTTTACGGAATACAAGAAATTGCTCTCGACTGGTTTAGATCGTATTTGACAAATCGTACACAACGATGTCTCGTTAATGGTTCCCTTTCTAGAATCTGTTCACTAAAATGTGGGGTACCTAAGGGAACAATTCCTGGTCCCCTTTTACTTTTTATTTACATCAACGATTTGCCAAACTGCCTAACTTTATGCCAGCCTAGAATGTGTGCTGATGACACACACATCACTTGTGCAAATGTTAATGTGAATTCAATACAGTTAAATTTGAATCACGATTTAGGTAATCTAAACAAATGGCTTATTTCCAACAAACTTGCTTTGAACACTGCTAAAACTGAATTTATGCTAATTCGATATGATCCTGAGACAAAAATTGAGTACTTTGTCGAGCCAACCCGAGCTCTCCATTGATAATGTTCCGATAGAAAAAGTTAGCTCTGTAAAATCGCTTGGAATATTTATTGATGAAAATCTACGGTGGCAAACACACATCGATAAATTGTCTAAAAAGATTGCCTCCGGGACAGGAGCAATTAAAAGAATTAGAGATTTTCTTCCAACGCCTCCTCTCCATTGTATATACAATATTGTATATACAATGCTCTCATTCAATCTCAATTCGATTATTGTAATATTGTCTGGGTTAATTGTGGAAAAACTTTGTTTGACAGGCTACAGTAGCTTCAGAACCGTGCTGCTNAAAATGAACCTTTACGGAATACAAGAAATTGCTCTCGACTGGTTTAGATCGTATTTGACAAATCGTACACAACGATGTCTCGTTAATGGTTCCCTTTCTAGAATCTGTTCACTAAAATGTGGGGTACCTAAGGGAACAATTCCTGGTCCCCTTTTACTTTTTATTTACATCAACGATTTGCCAAACTGCCTAACTTTATGCCAGCCTAGAATGTGTGCTGATGACACACACATCACTTGTGCAAATGTTAATGTGAATTCAATACAGTTAAATTTGAATCACGATTTAGGTAATCTAAACAAATGGCTTATTTCCAACAAACTTGCTTTGAACACTGCTAAAACTGAATTTATGCTAATTCGATATGATCCTGAGACAAAAATTGAGTACTTTGTCGAGCCAACCCGAGCTCTCCATTGATAATGTTCCGATAGAAAAAGTTAGCTCTGTAAAATCGCTTGGAATATTTATTGATGAAAATCTACGGTGGCAAACACACATCGATAAATTGTCTAAAAAGATTGCCTCCGGGACAGGAGCAATTAAAAGAATTAGAGATTTTCTTCCAACGCCTCCTCTCCATTGTATATACAATATTGTATATACAATGCTCTCATTCAATCTCAATTCGATTATTGTAATATTGTCTGGGTTAATTGTGGAAAAACTTTGTTTGACAGGCTACAGTAGCTTCAGAACCGTGCTGCTCGTGTTCTAACTTTTCAGATATGATGCTAATACCAAACGCTTATTTAGACAACTTAATTGGGAAGACTTGAGCACTCAGTCTCAAATACAAAAAGCCCTTATGGTCTACCAGTCTTTAAATGATCTTGTTCTGGGATATTTATCCTCTAAATTTGTTAAACGATATGAAAAGCGCTACTCCCTAAAGGACTCTGTTAACAAACTAATTGTCCCGTTCCCGCGAACTAACTTCATGAAGAACAGCTGCAGTTATAGCGGAGCAGTTCTCTGGAACAGTCTGCCCTGTGATATGAGAGAGGCTAAATCTTTAAGTCAATTTAAACGACTGGCTCATCTGAATTTCTGATTTTTAAAGTACTGTGAACACGGCATTCATGAAAAACAGGTCTTAATTAGGTTAGTTGTAGACAGTTTTGCATATTGTTTAGGGTAGTTAGGTTTATTTAAAAATTTTTATACTCCTGATAAATTTTACCGCGTTTAAATGAAGAATTATTCTATTCTATTCCATTCCATTCTATTCTAATGTGTTGTTCTATTCAGCGCGAACAGGCCCGGAATTTCCGAAATTTCAATCGGAATTTTTATTGGATGGAAAGCGCCCTAGATTTTTCAACTTTTATAGCTTTACCATTTACAAGTTCCTAGACTGTTCAAAGTGCCCTATTTTTTCGTGACATCGTTTAGATATACCGCGTCTTACCGTCACGGGTACATCTTGATTTTCAAATGTACCGAGGGGGCGGGCGTCGGGGATTAACCGCCCCCGCCCCCTAAGTAGTTTTGACACTCATGTAAGATGGCAGCCCGTAACGCAAAGCACTCGATCTAGACGATCTTAGGGAAAAATAAAGGACTGTGAACAGTCTAACAAGTTTCCGTCGAATCCGGTTGGAAAGTAAACGGAACAGGACTTTTTAAGTCGTTCCAGCGGAAAACTTCCTGGAGCGATAAGACATCTGAAAAGTTAGTCTTCTGTTTTTCCGGACGGAATGTTGCAAAGAGTCCCCTGTTTTTCCGTAAGATCGTCGAAATAAGACACCTACTTTAACGGGCATAGATCTTGGTTTCAAATTTACTAAATGAGTGTTAGTACGTTACTAAGGATTTTTAGGAAGTAAAAATTTGTGTAAATATTAGAAGTTTTAGCTGCTCTAATACTTCATGAAACTCAATACTCGGTGGGATCGATAGTTCTTTAGTTCGAGTTTTGGTGACGTCATGTGAAAACCAGCAATAGTTAATTAAACCTCATTCTTACACTGAGCCAGTGACTGACTCATATTGTTGCACAGCAAACATCAAAACCTGGGCTACGACAATGAAAAATGCATTGCTACGACGCGAAGACTGCAATGTGATTTTGGTGGACTGGTCGAAAGGAGCTAAATTCCCGTACCTCCAGGCAGCTGGGAACACTCGGCTTGTGGGTGCTCAGACAGCGGAGCTTATAAGGTTCCTGATTAGTTCTACTAGCTCTGGCTCAGCTAGTTTGACCGACCGTTTCTACATTGTGGGGTTCAGTCTTGGAGCTCAAGTGGCAGGATATGCTGGAAGCTATTTGCGGGCTCGTGGAATGAAACTGGGTCGTATTACTGGTATGAACTTACCTTAAAGCAAATTTTACTTTACTTTAATTTATTTCTCGGTTTATAACGCATAGGTAAGTTGTGATCCATTAACGGTAAGGTGAGTGTTAATTTAGGAATGAAAATTTAGCTTCCTGTATTACAACTACTAATCACCTACTATTTTGCGCGGAGACATTAAAACTGCTGCTGCTGCTGCTATTGCTACTGCTACTACTAACACTACCAGTAGCATTACCACTTCTAATACCACTACTACTACTACCACTATCACCACTAAGCACTACCACAGCCATTATCACTACCACCACCACTACCACAGCCATAACCACTAACTCTAACACTACCACTACCACCACCACTACCACTACTACTGCCACTACCACAGCCATTACCACTACACTCTACCACTACAATGTTCTGTCGCACTTTGTAAAAAACTTGAAATGGATGGTCGGAGGACAGGTACACCCAATAATAAGTATCATCATCGACAACAACAACAACGATTCAAACACGTTTTTCCCTTTGTCACGCAATATCAACCATCAGTTACTACCCTTAAAAATATTCTTATGAAACACTGGCCAGTGATAGAGAACCGACCTCTTCTATAACAGATCTACAAATAACCTCCAATTATATCGCGCAAACGCTGAAGGTCTTTAAAGGATATACTCCTTAAAGCTAAACCCTGAGAACTAAAAGCTAAAAAACACGTTGGTGGAAGGTGTGAGTCAGGCTTGTCGACCCTTTGAAATATTCCTCGTTGCCCGTGCTACAGTAAAACTTTCAAAATATCTTGCTTCTACATTTACCTTTCGTCTGAAGAACACGTTACCTTTAAGGGACAACTCGATAATACGGATAGCAGCTAAATTCTAATACAAACTCCTCTTCTTACGGTCTCTCGCTGTTATAGACACTATCTCAACTTAGAATTGAAACAGGTAGATACGAAAACATTCCTCGCAATGAAAGGATATGTCACTTTTGTACAAGTAACAAAATCGAAGATGAAAATCATTTCTTACTAGATTGTAAGGCTTATTCTCAGATCAGAGACATATTTTTCTCCAAACTAGAAACTAAAATACCTGACTTCAAATCACTTTCACACGATACTTTAATATCTCTTCTTATGAATTCTTCTGATTATTTAATTAACTGTCAATTAGTTTCATTTATCTCGCAATGCTTTGAATTAAGAACCAAATTAATATCAATGAATGAATGAATGAGAACTGTAACGTTTTGTAATGTTTTGCACGTACTAATTAGTTGAATTAGTACTTAAATTTAGACTAATAGCTTTTGCAATACTGTAATTCCTTTATGGTCATGCAAATAAAGCTTTTGGAATAATAATCTCATGGCGTCATAGTCTCGAGGTCTTCCCCTAGAAAGAGTTGTACTTCTCTACAATGATTTTGAAACCGGAAGGCTGCTTTTGATATGAGCCTTTTCCTACGCCCTCTCTTGAGAAATTGGTGCTGAAAACCGTTCAGTGAATTATTATTATTATTATTATTATTATTATTATTGTCGTGGTCGATGATGGTACGTATTATCGGGTTGACTTGTCCTCTGACCATCCATTTCAAGTTCATTGCAAAGTACGACAAGTATTATTAGAAAGTGCGACAGAACAAACCACCACCACTACTACTATCACCACCACTGCCACTACTACTACCTCCACCACTACCACTAACACGACCACTACCACGACCTCTACCACTACCTCTACCACTACCGCTACCACTACCACAACCATTACCACTACCACTACCGCTCCACAACCACAACTACTATCACTACCCCTACCACTACCATTACCACTACCACCACTGCTACCACTACAACAACCATTATTGCTACCTCTACCACCACCACTAACACTGCCACTACTGCTACCACTACCACAACTACTACCACCTCCACTCTCTTACCACTGTCCACTACTCTCTTACTCTCACTCTTTACTTG